TTGTAACAATACTTAATGTTTTAGTTAAGCTCCATAATTTGCCTCACTGTGAGACAATCATCAGGCAAAACTGGGATACACTGAATAAAGTTCATATATACTTTCATATTTTCCTTCTTCCAGTTGCAGGTTTGTTTGAGCAGGGTTACAAAATTTGACGTATATCATAGTTGTCTAGCTTGTTTTACTAACACGTTGTGATGTGTAGGAAACATCAACAACGCCCTAACACAACCTGACTTTCAACTAATTTCTTCATTACCACCAGAATTCTCTCTGGAAACTCATTGATGAGTATCTTGATGTCTGCGAAGGGGCCCTTGATCAAAGGATTTTGTGATTTTTCTCCCCTTCCTTGGATCAAACTCGATTACTATCCATTCTCTAGATGTTGTACGCTCCCACTGGGTTAAGCGCTTCGCCATGGGTATAATAATTATAGTATTTCAGAACCCTAGACACACGGACTCTTAAGACCAACATTTATGTTCTCTTAGTACACCCTTCAGAGGATGGGCTGTCTTGATGTTGGTGAAATGTTGTTTATCCAAAGAATTGAAGTTACCCTTTAATGAGATCAAAGCTGATTACCTCCCATTCCCTAGGCGCAGTATAGTTACGGATTTAACGTTTCTCCAAGAATATAATAATAACCCCCTGGATTCACTGGCCAAATTTTAACAGGCTCTCATTCTGATTTCATACTGTTTCATTTGTGAATTATCTCACTTTAGGCTTCATGTAATATATTATGTTTGCTAGCATATAATTTAAAAACTCATTTTCACTCATTGTACATCTGAAAACTGGCTACCATTTTATGTTGGATGCTTACAGATATCTGCTGAAGCGTCACAGTTGGTTGGCTGGAAGCTTCACTGTAGTGTGCTTCTTGCTTCATCAAAGCTTCACTGTAATGTTTCCTGTTCGCTCAGTGCTTTGCTGCAGTGTTTCCAGTTGATCTGAATCCTCAGTGTAAGGAATGTTATGCTGTCTTAAAGCTTCGTTGTCTCGAAGCTATTCTGTGGTGTTTCTGCTGACTTGAAGCTTTGCTTTGATGAATGTTTTTCCTGACTCGAAACTATTCTGTGATGAGTGTTTCTTTTGGTTCGAAGCTTCGCAGAGGTATTTCTTCTGGATCGAAACTTCGCTGAGGTGAGTGTCTGCGGCTCGAAGCTTCGCTATTATGAGCATCTCTGTTGACACGAAGCTTCACTGTGGTGTGTGTTTCCTGTTGGAGTGGAAATTTGCTGGTCTATATAATGGGTTTTCGCTATAAAATTACATCTAGGCTACTATCCAGTTTGTAAATACATATTTATAATACACCAAACCCTACCAGAGTTATATGACAAACGTAATGTAGAAACTTAGTCCAAGGTACCGAATTCTAATGCAGTAAATTTAGGATATGTCAACTTCATTTACCCATGCGTGATGACATTACATGGCTCTACCACTAAGTGTATATCTGTTTAAATCTGTTGAGCCTAGTGTTACAAGGGTATACCTTACAGCGTTGTGATCGTATGACCAGTCCTCACCACAACAGACCTTTAAGTTCTCACCCTCTTTTACAACACTGAAAACTCACACCCTTGAGTTCCCATTCCTGCAAGATGGTATGCCTTGATGATAGTGAAAGGATCTTGATCAACAAAATTGGAAATAGCCTCCCCTTCCTCGAGTGAAACTGAATACCTACTGAATACTGAATACCTACCTGAATACTCCAATCTCTTTATGACCCCATCTCCAAGATTTGAGTCCTGGAGATGGGAAGTACAGTGTCTACACTCTGAAGGAGGGGTGTTAATGTTGCAGTTTTATAACTGTAGTGTAAAGCACCCCTCTGGCAAGACAGTGATGGAGTGAATGATGATGAAAGTTTTTCTCTTTCTGGCCACGCTACCTTGGTGGGAATCGGCCAGTGTGTTAATACAAAATATAAATAATAATAATGATGATAATAATAATAATAATAATGTGGGTAGCTACTGTTTGTTACAAGCGTACATAAAGGTACGTACCATAAATTTTCTTACAAGGGGTCTTCTTTCTCCTTTCCTTCTTCGTTGGGCCCAACTGGCGCGGGTCACATCGAGGCATGACCCGTGCCCTGGGCCCCACGCCCACCGCACTCCCACATCTGTCTCACGCCCATACCGCTCCTGTCTCGGTGGGCAGCGAACGACTTATCTCTCCTGTGTTGTGGTGTGGAGGTAACGTAGAAAGGGTAGGAGTCGTAAAAGATGAAAAATAGTCAGAAGCAAAAGAGCAACAAATGCCGGAACGAATACTAGTAAGGCAGACTAATAATGAATGATAGAAGCATTTTGTCAAGACAAAGAGAGATAGAGAGTGTATGATCAAGGTCCTCTGCATTGCAGGTCGTGAGCCAACAAATGAACAACAGACATGAAAGTGAAGGATATATGAAAGAGGAACTAAGGCAGGAAATCGAATAAACCCTTGAGTTTGAACGATCAGAAATTACTCGTTTTTGGGCAGCACAGTAATGGTGAAGAGTATAGGATATAGACGTGTTCACGATTCATCTATCAACAACAGCAGAACCTGTTGTTGTAATGATATTTAAGCATGTCTTTCAGCACCATTTTCGTCCAGAAAATGATACATTTATGCTCACCAGCTGATGCATATGCACAACCTCACAACTTTTGAGGAGACTGTCACTTTCTATGACGAAAAAAAATTAGTAAGGCTAATCTTGTTTAAAATATTCCTCTGTGAATTTCTACCGACGCTGACTAAATAATAATAATAAATAAAGCGAAATAACAGCCTTTAATAACTATAATATTTAGTTATTATTTTAATTATTGACCGGTGAAGAAAGTAGTTTCTTTTTCACTATTTTAGCGAGAGAATTCTACTCCAAGAAGTGTTCAAAACGCTCCAAACTTCTCGAACCACACACGTTTCGCTTAAGAACATAAACGGCATTAAAAATATTCATATATACAATGTAATGTACACGAAGCTTTACGCACACGCTCGCACGCGCGCTTAGCATTCCTCCTTGCTTTTGTTTTGGTATGTAACTGAAGGGAGCGTTATCAAGGCCAAGGAGAGTACAGAGCCCAGGGGAGAAGTCGTGACTCGTGGAACTCTCCACACTGGCAAGAGCAGCCAATCAGAATCCCTCCATTAGTTTAACTTCTCTACTCGGTTGGTTGTCGTACTCGCTCGCCAGCCAATCCAACCTGTGAAGGAGAGAGGAACACGCCTGAGGTGAGACATAATACGTGAAGGTGTTGGTGATGGTCACTTACTGGGAAAAATTACAGGAGAGGATTGAGTGAGAATGTTCAGGTGCTTGACCTAGGCTATATTATATTTACCTTTGATGTCTTGATGCCGCTAAAGGAATCTTGAACAAATGAACGTGATTGTACACTCCTCTTCCTTGGAACAAATTTGTCTCTCATTCTCATACCTTGTATGACCCGTAGGAGTTTAGCACTCCTTGCAAATGTACAAAATTTCTTGCATCATGTAGCAAGGTAAACCCAGGCAACTGTCTTTGTTAATTATCAGTGCCAAGGGGACACCTTGAAGCTAGTGAAAGGTTTCATATAAGAAATAGAAGCTGTCCTTCCCCTTCCCTGGATCAAACCTGATTACTTCCCATTTACCAGGCGTTGTATAGCCAACAAGAGTTTAGTAATTGCTAAAATATCCATATATATATATATATATATATATATATATATTATATATATATATATATATATATATATATATATATATGCAATAAGATCACAGTAAACAGGTGATTTCAGAATATGCAAAACAACCACTCTGAAAGAATAGAGAAATTCCAAGCGCTTTCGTGACTACTCACATTATCAAGGAACTATGAAAGTAAAGCATCCAAGGAAGCTATATAAGGGGTCTGGCCAGCACCTCACTATCAGATCCCACAACGGTTAAACACCTGACGCGCGCCGACCCAACTTGGATAGGTCCTTTGCACAACTCACCCCACAAACTATTCTACCCAAGAAAATTGTGATGCCTTTAATTTACGACATATTGGTAAGTTATTTTAGAGTAGAGTTCACCAGTTTAATGTACAACTGGACAAGATTCTAGTAATTTATTTATTCATGTGACAAAGACGATCCATTGTGTAGATTAATGCCAAAGATTTACTTCTATATAATTCTATAGATTAACGAAAAATGTGGAATCACTACAAATAAATGAGCATATTGAACAATTGTTTTAAGCCTGAGTTCTGGCATCTATGAAACTGAAAATTTTTATTTTTCTCAATATTGATCATGATCATAAGGTGAATTTTTTCCACAAAAAAAAAAAATGAAGTGAGTACATGAACCTACTGCAGTGTTCCTCCTTTTATGTGATTTAAAAGGTGATGGCCTGATATATTTACCATAAAATTATCTATACCTTTTTATCTCATTCAGCAACATTGTCTGGCTATGTTATTCTATTTAGTGTTTTGACATTTACAAATTACTAGTAGTTTTACTGGAAACAGTTCTAATAGTATTTTTTGAGACTGTAAAGTGGTAGGCCTCCTCATTCCACGTTGAGATATCAATGTTGTCTCCTTGAACGAGGTGTAACCTTCGCTGAGCTAGGTATCACCTATTCCTATTCCTAGATAACCCCTATACCTATTCCTCTGAAGATGTGCGTGTAAACAAATGAAAGCCCTCAGAATTTCCAATATATTCTTTTTCCCTATGGCAAATGATCTCAGGAAACACTGACAAATAGTAAGATTCCAATAGCTTTCGTATTTCCTTTCATTATCAATTAATACTTATATATGCTATATACAACCCTAAAATTGGAGATTTCAATGCATAGTAAATATTAATCCAGAAGAAAAAGAATGTATATTTACTGCCTAATATTTTTGTATATTTTTTATATATTTTAGCATAAACAAAGTGTAACAATTATTGAAACTCTAGGAGTTTAAACTACTTACCTACGTGTAGGATGGATCAGTACCAGGAGTATACAGGCGTGGGAAAGTGCTGCGTGGGCGTGCGGGCGTGGTGGGCCAGGCCGTGAGTGAAGGAGGAGGGCGTGAGGGTGGAGGCAGCAGTGGGCGGCGAGGTGCCCGCCCCTCCCATGGCTCCCCGCAGCTGGTTGGAGGCCCATGAGGCAGGTGCAGCCGGAGGCAATGATGTTCCCACGGGGCCTCCACCTCCACCCTGGCTGCCACACATACCACCAGGGGTCTGAGGGAACACAGACAACACAAATGAGGCAAGGAAAACCTCATTACAGGGAAAGGATTGGACTTGATCCTGAAGGGCTCTTCATCAGAAGAACTGAAACTCATTTTCCATTCCTCGGATTAAATCTAACTATATCCCAGCCCCGAGGCATTGTATCACCCTGGTAACACTTCGTGACGAAAAATAATAATCATAAATATCACCTGAAGCACATCGGTCGATGCGCGATACGAGAAAGGTATATTCGTATTACATAACACCAGCGCCGTCATAACAGTGCAGAGTGAAGCTTAAGTTTCTAATGTGATTATACAGTAAGTGGCCACTTTATTAAGTACTCCTATCTAGTACAGGGTAGGGCGCCTCTTTGCCTCCAGAACAGCCTGAATTCTTCGTTGCATACATTCAACAAGTTGGTTGAAACATTCCTTAGAGATCCTAGTCCTTGTTGACGTGATAGCATCACACATTTGTTGTTGTTAGATTTGTCAGCTTCACATTCATGCTGCGAATCTCTCATTCCACCACATCCCAAAATTTTACGACGTTTTTCAGATTTCAACTATCCAGTTTTGCATAGCCTGTGCCCACTCTAGCTTCAGTTTCCTGTTTTTAGCTAATAGGAGTGGAACCTGATGTGATCTTCTTCAAGGGTCGACATGTGTGTTCAGAGACGCTCTTCTGTATACCACTGTTGTAATACGAGGTTATTTTATTTACTGTCATATTCCTATCAACCTGCCACTCAATGGATATTTTGTGTTTTTCACACCATTACCTGTAAACTCTAAAGACTGTGGTGTATGAAAATCTCAGATCATCAGTTACTGATATACTCAAACCGCCGTCTGGCACCAACAATCAGTCCAAGGACAAAGTCACTTCCATCACCTTTTTTTCACATTCTAATGTTTGGGCTGAACAACAACAACACCTGAACCTCTCGACTACGTATACTTTTAGGCACTGAGGTGCTACCATATAACTGACTGATTAAATAATTGTGTTAACAAGCAAGTGTACAGGTGTTCTTAATAAAGTGGCCAATAGTGTGTATGCGTTGATGATTTGAAGCGACTCAGAAGAAGCTCTAGCAAGTCATCATGAAGTTAACATTAGTTGTCATTTAGTTATCAGTATTATAATTTTCCAGATTTCTTCCATGAAAAAAAGAATAAATTAGGACCAACACAGGCTAAAATTAACTCATACTTTACTCTAAGTAAGAGTGACTGGCGTTAAGGGTTCAGGTACGTATTAGGTAAATAAGTACATTTTCTTTAAGTTGTTTACCTGGAGGTTACCTGGAGAGAGTTCCGGGGGTCAACGCCCCCGCGGCCCGGTCTGTGACCAGGCCTCCTGGTGGATCAGAGCCTGATCAACCAGGCTGTTACTGCTGGCTGCACGCAAACCAACGTACGAGCCACAGCCACAGTTGTAGTACATAGCAAGTTTTCTTTTTTTTTACAGCGGTTATGAGAGCACACATATGTCATGGACACATATAAACACACATAACGCAGATTTTTACAAAGGACAATTCGTTGAAATCAAACTCTGCAGCTTATTTCTGATCCAAGAGACATTCTCCAGTCATTCCACAGAAACCCATTTGACTAATAAAACTCGCACATTTAAAACTTACACAACTTAAAATCGAAGCGACATTTTCTTTTAGGAAACAACATCAGCAGTGGAAGTAGAACACTCCACAAGATACATCCTCAGCAGTGGAAGTAGAACACTCCACAAGATACATCCTCAGCAGTGGAAGTAGAACACTCCACAAGATACATCCTCAGCAGTGGAAGTAGAACACTCCACAAGATACATCCTCAGCAGTGGAAGTAGAACACTCCACAAGATACATCCTCAGCAGTGGAAGTAGAACACTCCACAAGATACATCCTCAGCAGTGGAAGTAGAACACTCCACAAGATACATCCTCCAGTTATTCCACAGACTCCAAAAAATATACATCTAAACAACATATTCCCAAAAGAGGCTGTATTCATGTCATTCAATACATCAACCATTAAAGACTGATGCCATTCACATTTATAATATTTTAATTAGGGAAAGTGCTCAACCCGTAGGAGTTATACAGTGCATTTGGAAGGGGAGGAATTCAAATTTGATCCAGAGATTCCCCATCTCTGGATCAAGTTTGAATAAGTCAAGTTTCTTGGATCAAGAGCCCCTCTCCTTCGTTCAGGCGTTCCCCTTGAGAACGCATAATCCAGTTATTTAATATGAACAGTAATTAACAGTTCAATAAACTCAAGAAAATAAAAAAATAAAAACGCGAGTTTTCAATATTTCTCCTTTATTTTATTGTTCTATTCTATTTAAAATTCTTTACTTTCCTAATTTACTAAGAATCTGATTTTTCGTTTTTTTTTTTTTTTTTTACGAAAGTCTAACTCAAATCAGTTATATAAAATAAGTAAACTGGCACGTACTAACCCTGAATTCAGTAAAAAAATCTTGGGATTAAGATACATCAACTCTTAATGTTTAAAGTCGACCTGAGAAAACATTCTCTAGTTAATACATGGAAACTAATTTATCAAAACTGGCAATTTAAAATTTACCTAGCTTAAGACGAAAGAAAAATTTCCTCTGGATAAAGCCAACCATCACTGAACATCTGAAATCTATCAGATATTCCTCAGTAACTGCTCTAATTACAAAGATTCCAAGTATTTTAACTAATTTCATTCAGCCCTGAATGACCCTTATTAAGTGTTTAGTTGTAATAATAATTAATAATAATAATAATAATAATAATAATAATAATAATAATAATAATAATAATAATAATTAATAATAATAATAATAATAATAATAATAATTAATAATAATAATAATAATAATAATAATAATAATAATAATAATAATCATAATAATAATAATACCAGTTTAATTAAACTTGCAAATTTGCATCAACACAGTCTAAACTTGCAGGTCGCCATCCTACTCATGGAATACATCAACATTAATATTTTGAAACCGATATGATGAGGCACTATTTAGTTTTGGAATGGAAATCAATATCACTGTTTATTTGATGAAGCTGGTAAACTGAGATTTCAACAGCTCACAAATATCACCAACCAAGATTTCTGGTGCACATACCAAGGCTGAAAATTTGGAGCCTATCTGAAGAGGCATTCTCCAGTTATCACGCAGATTCCAATGATTACAAGTTTTTTTTTAATCAACATAATAGGCTGATAAATTTGTCCACATACAAACTAAACGTAGTGGGTACTATAACGTGAAGTTTTAAAAATACCTTCGACAAATACATGAGTGGGTGTGGGTGGATGTAAGTTGAACCTGACTAGCATGGGCCAGTAGGCCTGCTGCAGAGCTCCTTCTTTCAAATGTTCTCATGTACTATCCTATACGTTAAATGTATTAAGTATTCAATACAGACGCCATTCAGAATAGGTAGCCTCAAATAATTTTAACGTGACTTAACGGGAAAAAAAAATTCAAACGTGTTTTGTACATAAAATTAGCAGATGTCTTTCAACCTATTTGAATTTTACTCTCCGCGGAGGTCGTATTACGAAGCATTTCTTTTTTTGTGACGTTGGAAGCCACGCAGCAAAGGTTTCCGGAAGTTATTATAGCCAATGCACAAATTCTGGGAAGGGTTCTTGAACTTTAGTCATAGGGCACCTGCATACCTGGAGGGGTATACCTGGAGGGGTATACCTGGAGGGGTATTCCTGTAGGGGTATACCTGGAGGGTGTATCGGGGATCAACGCCTTCGCGGCCCGGCCCATGACCAGGCCTCACGGGAAATAGTAAAGTGTACTATTGTTGTGCCAGTTGTTCCAGGAATCTTACTCTCATTACTAGTTTTCAAAATTTGAAACCGAAAGGATGATGCCTCGTGTTAATTAGAACGAAATAAAAATAGAAAGTTCGGGTGGAAAGGAACAGATACAGACAGCAATTTGAAGGTCCCCCTTCGGGGATACCTAACCCTACCTCGGCGGAAAACATCCAATATATTAATAAATAAAAAATAAGGATAACTTTGCACATTACTTGTCACCTCTTCCTAAGCGAACGTTTATTTTTTGCCTACCTTTGTATTTACTTATGTCAGAGCATTACAGAGTGTGATTACCAGACAGCTGTTGACGTTAACGCCAGATACCCACCCCGGTTATATATTAGTTTATTTGCTTAAGGTAATTTAAGTAAACAGGAGATACTGGTGTCCTTGTTTGCACTGTGCTGAGGCGTTATGATGCCTTGGTTAACAAGGAACATGGCTGTGTAGACCTGCTGGCTGCTAGCATCAACACACTGACTGATAGCACAGGTTCTAAATAACTTAACATCTCCTTTGCTCAAGCAAAGAGCTATGTATAAACACTAGATGTCTCGACACCGACAAATTGTGAAATAAAACACATACTGTATGCAACAATTTTTATAGTACACGTTTCGCTCACTAGGGGCGGAATGTTTTCTAAATCAAATGTTCTGGGTGGTGCACATATGTATTCATTTTACAGCCTGGTTGATGAAACACTTCACAGCCAGGTTCACGAAACACTTCATAGCCTGGTTCACGAAACATTTCACAGCCTGGTTCACGAAACACTTCACAGTTTGGTTCACAAAACACTTCACAGCCTGGTTCATGAAACACTTAACAAGGAAGCCTTGCATCAGGCATGGCTGCTAGAGTAGAAGAATCCTGGAAGCCTTTTACAAGTATGTCACTGGAGGTTTTCTCACCTGTGAGGAGATGAAGGCGGAGTTGGTGCAGGAGGAGAGAGCGGCACTCATGGACGGATAGGAGGAGGCGGCGGCAGCGGCGGCGGCGGCACTCATGTTGACGGCTCTAGCCTCCGACGCCAGAGAGCCTTGGTGGAGGCCTCCAGAGCCTCCCTGGTACAATCCGGAGGTATCTGCGCGACCCCAGGTAAAAAGAAACAAAAAATATTAGTGCGCACAGCAGCGTACTGTCAACAATACGAGTTAAGATTAAGATTATATTGTTACAACGTTCCGCTCTACTTAGAGCGACATGTTATCATAACTAAAGCATGTTGCACATGTCATTTTTTTTAAGATCGTGCGGAGTTCTCAATTTCACTACTCTTCAGAGACTTTCAAAGGAAATTTGATGTAACTGAACATTTATCGCCCACTCAAACAAGAGATGTGTTCTCAACAGACCAAAACTTAACTCATTTTCGTCCCCCTAAAAAGAGACATATCACTGTACTTACCTAGATAATGCTTGTTCCTTGCAACAAACATTACACACACACACACACACACATCACAATATATATATATAATATTATATATATATATTATATATATATAAATACTATATATATATATATAATATATATATATATATATATATATATATATATATATATATATATATATATATATATATATATATGTCGTGCCGAATAGGCAGAACTTGCGATCTTGGCTTAAATAGCAACGCTCATCTTGCCATATAGGACAAGTGAAAATTTGTGTATGCAATAATTTCGCCGAAATCATTCTGAAGCAACGAAAAAAATATATTTCACCGTGTTTGTTTAGTATTAAATTATTGTAAATAAATTTAAAATATATTTAGTTGGGTTAGACTAAAATAAATTGCTCTTGTTATAATAAGGTTAGGTAAGTTTTCTAAGTTCCTTTTGGTGCAAAATTATAAATTTTTACATCAACATTAATGAAAAAAATATATTTTTAAACGTATAAGAGAAAATTTTAGAAAGGACATAATTTTAAATGAGTTCTTGCTAATTGACCAGTTTTACATATTCGGCACGACATACATATATATATATATATATATATATATATATATATATATATATATATATATATATATATATATATATATATATATATATATATATATATATTATATATATACAAAACAACCACTCTGAAAGAATAGAGAAATTCCAAGCGCTTTCGTGACTACTCACATTATCAAGGAACTATGAAAGTAAAGCATCCAATGAAGCTATATAAGGGGTCTGGCCAACTGGACAAGATTCCAATGCTATATTTATTCATGTAAGAGATTTTAACCATCCAATTGATTTTCAAAAATTTGAGAAAGTAGTATCAAGCAAGTCCATGGTCGACAGGAATATAATTGAATTTTGTTTCATAAAAAGCAGTTTTGACAATAATATGAATATTTCCTTTGGTTTATATAAATTAGATCCATTTATAATTAATAGAATTTGGGAAGAATTTAATAATACACTGGACAAATAATAATTTTTTAAATTTTCTTGGGTAGAATAGTTTGTTGGTGAGTTGTGCAAAGGAACCGTCCAGTTGGGCCGGCGCGCGTCAGGTGTTTAACCGTTGTGGGATCTGATAGTGAGGTGTTGGCCAGACCCCTTATATACCTTCCTTGGATGCTTTACTTTCATAGTTTCTTGATAATGTGAGTAGTCACGAATGCGCTTGGAATTTCTCTATTTTTTCAGAGTGGTTGTTTTGCATATATATATATATATATATATATATATATATATAATATATATATATATATATATATGAATTTAATTTATATAACCCGAAGGCAATATTTATATTATATGAAATTTGATTCTCCTATATTCCTCTTGACCATGCACTTGCTAGATACAACTTTCTCAACCTTTTGAAAATCAATTGGATGGTTAAAATCTGTCACATGAATAAACAGAGCATTAGAATCTTGTCCACTTCTAATGATATATTTATTTTACTTTAATTTTAGTTCAAGACTTTTACCAGTTTGACCGTAATAAACTTTATCACATATTTTACAAGGAACCTTATTGACACAACTGTCAGTATTTCTGGGGAAATTTTTATCAATAGTTTTTTAACTGTATCAAGATTTTTAAATACAACTTTGATATTAAAATTCTTAAGTAGAGATGCCATATCAACCAGGTGTTCTGTGTAAGGGAGAACCAAAATATTTTTAGTTGAATAAGGTTGGTTGTCCCTTTTTGAAATGTAGAACGTATTTCTAGCAATTTTAATATTTATTAGTCGAGTTTCTTGGGTATTTTAGATCATTAGCTATTTCATAAATTTTTGAGATTTCTTCATCTATAAATTCTGGGCTGCAAATAGGTAAAGCTTTCAAGGGCCAATCAACCTTATTCAACTAAAAATATGTTGGTTCTCCCTAAAATTATGTTGGTTCTCATTAATAGGATACGCCATGTGCCAGACACATTTCTACCTCTGAGAAAATCTTTCCCCCTCAAGCTACCTGTTGCAACTCTTGCAACATTGCATAGACATATAGGTGAGTGCATATAGGAAGAGCGTCTGTCTCGCGCTCAGCAGACGGAGGATCAAGCCTCCACACGCCTTGCGCTGAATGGCCCACATGGGTTTAGTTCTTAACATGAATTAAACAACAAAGCAACATTGCACAGCTCCTGACGAAGTACGAAAGGGCGAAAGGCCTAGAGTTAGTGTTTTCCATCACCCAGTTTATTCTTACATATCATATTGCACGTCACATAGAACCGGTTAGAGTGTTTAATTTACCTTGTGTCTGGGCGGAGAAGGTGGAGCTGGGATCGGAGAAACCCTGGAACATGTAGGAGGAGGGCGCAGAGTGGTAAGACATGGGCAGACCCATTGCATTAAAGTTGGTCATGCTTCCTGACGCCATCTGCTTCCTTAGCCTCGCCCGACGGTTGCTGAACCATACCTGATGAAGACAGGTAACACCATGGAAAATTTTAACCTATTTTAACATTTATAATTGTTCACAGCGTCGACGACAGTGATGCCGGGATAAAAAAAAAGTACGGAGCCGTAACTTGCGTGACGAAAGAAAGGCTAAGAATGATCGTCTGTCTGAGAAGAAATTGAAAAGTGACGTGAATGATTTAAGTACGTGAATCATCCGTCCTGTTCTCTCACACGCACAGCGAAAACACGGAACTAAAAGCAGCATTCGCTGACGTGGATGAGAGATTCACGGAGAACATCACCCATGACGCGCTTAAAAGCACAGAAGGTTGCTCAAGAACAGTATGAGCTAAAGTAGACTCTACGGCAGAAGGAGGATGCTTACGGAGCTCTCTGATGGAGTCACGAAGTGTTGCGGGTATAGTTCTCTTCTGTTGGATCCTATAAGCGCTCTTCCTCAGAGAAGGATACCAACTTAAATCTGAATATTTTAATCGAGATCGAGCTGAGGACTGAGACTTGAGGGTCTTCAGCTCCGTACGTCTGAGCAGCGTTAGGCCCCTGCATGTCTGAGCAGCAACAGGGTCCTTGAATGAGGCCTAATGGTCCTCATACGGCAGGGCTGCATCATGGCCCTTTTATGGTTGGTAACTGGTCTCTTAGCTGTGACTGGTCTTCCAGGGGTAACCGATCTCCCAGTGGTGCCTGGTCTTCCAGTAGTGACTGGTCTTCCAGTAGTGACTGGTCTTTCAAAGATGATTGGTCTCTTCTGGAGAGAGACAATAAACCAGTTCAGTCACTGAGAAGGTAAAGAAAGAAAAACATAGACCAATTCGGTCACTGAGGAGATAAAGGAAGAAAAAGATCACTGAGAAGGTGAATGGAGAAAAAAACCACCTCTAGTCAAGCTGACCATTTCTTAATTTAGAGAAATCTTTCTCCTATTCACTCTCTTTATTTCTCTCTCACATTCCCTTGCTTTTCCATCTATTCTATTTAGCACTGAAGTTTTCTAGCATTGGCTTAGTGAACTTTATCTGTATTCTACCTAACTAAAACATTCATAATACATTTTTCTTCTTTCAACAAACTGGCCATATCCCACCGAGGCGGGGTGACCCAAAAAGAAAAACGAAAGTTTCTCCTTTTAAATTTAGTAATATATACAGGAGAAAGGGTTACTAGCCCGTTGCTCCCGGCATTTTAGTTGCTTCTTACCACACGCATGGCATACGGAGGAAGAAGTCTGTTCCACTTTCCCATAGAGATAAGCGGAAATAAACAAGAGCAAGAACTAGTAAGACAGAAGAAAACCCAGATGGGTGTGTATATGCTTGTACATGTACGTGTAGTGTGACCTAAGTGTAAGGAGAAGCAGCAAGACATACCTGAAATCTTGCACGTATATGAGACAGAAAAAAAAAAAACACCAGTAATCCTACCATTATGTAAAACAGTTACAGGCTTTCGTTTTACACTCACTTGGCAGGACGGTAGTACCTCCCTGGGTGGTTGCTGTCTACCAACCTACCAACCAAATACTACTATTGATATTGTTACTAGTAGTAGTAGTAATAGTAATTATTATTAATATTGCCATTATTATATTTGAGAGGAAACGCTAAATCCGCATGGGTTATAAAACGCCAGAAATATGGAAGGAGCGAGATTAATCAGGTTTGATAGGAGGTAAAGGATGGGAACTTTAATTTCCTGGGTCAAAAATCTCTCAGGGGTATCAAGATAAAACCTTCATAGAGCCTCGAAAGCTCTTTAGTGTTTTCAGAGCTTCAGAGCGACATCCTTTAAAAAAATCCTATATCCTTCCTTAAGTAAGCTCTCAAGTATCCTGCTTCACTAAGCTCTCATGTAAGCTCTCCTAAATCTTTTCCCTCAGTCACTTTCCTAGATCCTAACCTGTGTTAGGCCCATATTTTCTAACATTATTAAATACCCTATATCCTCTTTGGCATTAAATACTTAGCATTTTATTGTTTCATGGTCTCGGTAACCTCCTCTCTCCCT